CGGGCGGCCGGCCTCCCCCCGCGCCCAGGGAAGCATCCGCAGGAAAAGCAAACCTTGCATTAAGCAGGGCGAGCCAGCACAGCCCCGGGCATGGCCCCCGGCCCCCGATCAAACGGGTGCTCCTAAGGTCAGAGAGGGCGAGCGGCCCTCCCGCGGCGCCGGCTCCACTCCAGGCTGCTCCGCACACGCGGCGTAGCAGGAAAGCACCAACGGACGGGGAAGCGCTGCATTAGTCACGCCAAACAAATACGACAACAAAGCTCAGCAATGATCAGGTGAAAACCCCCATGGCAAAAGGAGTTTATTTGTAAACTCTTCCTGTGAGCGTTCCATAACAGCTGCACAGTGTAATGAAGTTAAAAGCACAGAGAAAAAAGCTGATTTTACATACATTCAAGCACTGTTGAACACCAACTCCTAAAAGGACAACTCAAGATAGACCTTCAAAGCCAATCTTGGCTCCCTCTCTGCAACTTGCTTCACTCCCAGTGTTCCAGCTCCAGGGATCAGGCAAGAAAGTATCCGATCTTCTTATAGTGCGGGCAGAGCTCTTTTTTTCTCTCCCACCTGCAGCTCTTTGAACATCTGCCTTACAGCTGTAGGGAGGGAGTGGCTGCTCCAAAGTCCAAGCTGTAAAAGTAGCTAAGGCTCTTTGTCCATATAGATTTCAGAGACAGAAATGCCAAAATTAACACAATCAAGCATTGTTGCCTACACTTCCATTGCAGTCTTGTTGAGTTTTGGATGTTTTTCTGTTCATCTACTCACTCATAGCTGTTTATGGGAATATTCAAGACAGTGGCTGACACGTGCCATCTACTGGACACCCGTACCCATAAATGAGAATACATTACCCAGACTCTGATTTGACTCGGCAGAATTCGGAGTCTGGTTGGTCACTAAAGTACTAGGATGCAAGTCTAAAGAACAACATACAGGTCAGATCTCAGAGACAGAATCAACACACTGCTTAAGTAAGCAATCCAGTAAGCACAAACACACAGAGTGTACTGCTAAAAAATACTCAGGTAATGTCTCTGCAAAGCAACTTTACCTAAGATCCATTTAATATTGAAGAGAGTATTTTCAAAAACTATAGAGTGGCACTAAAGCTCCTCAAACCAAGTAAGTAGTAGATAAAGGATAAACAGAACAGGAAACAGAATATTTCAGAGAAGACAGTTTAAAAGAGAAAAAATGTGGGGTTTTTTTTTCCCACTCTTACAACTTACTTGTACAGTGGTATTACCAAACATAAACCATAACATTTCGTAGTGCATTTCTCAGTTTATTTTTGAACAGGGACTTTATGATGTGCCCTCAGTGATTGTCTTGCCTCCAAGTTCACTCCAGAGGAGGAAGCTGTTCACAGGTCTCTTAATGGAAGCAAGAAGGTTCAGACATTCCTAGACTGAGCCAGAATTGGAAGCTCATTTTACAGTACTAAGACTAAAAGTCTTAACTCTGTGTAACAAGTTGCACAAGAGACAAAGTTCTTTGAAGTCATCCCAAAAAGAGAAGTACAACAGGCATGCTGCAGCAAGGCACTGAACTCCAGATATCTCCCACTCACAAGCACAAAAAACCCAGCACTTCATCAGTACATTCCCACTAATAGTCCTACAGGCCCAATATATCTAGCTTTTAGTTTCAAATACCAGAAACATTTACATCAGTACTGTAGCTAAAATGGGTACAGCTATCCTGGAGTGCCAAGTTGCTACTTCCTGGTCTTGGTTTTAAAAGATGCTTTTCTGAGGGTGTGTGTATATACACACTTTTTAAAACATATGTATCTAGACAAAGGCATGAGAGGATGATTGAACTGAAGAGCTAGTTAGCTCTCAGAAGGTTTAAACAATGGAAAAAGTATACAGTTGAAGACGAGAACCTGCAACTGCTTCCAACAAACCCTTCACAACTTTAGTGGAAGAATAATGTATATATCTCTAAAGTCAGACTTGGAATAAAATTAGCTTTGTGGCTCTTCGTAAAAGTTGTTTCCCTCTCATGCCAAAGACAAAGTAGAAATAAAAGCCAATATTAAAAAGAAAAAAATTGAGTATACCTTGATGTAAGCTAAATCTCCAAAGCCACTCTGAACAAGATCCATCTGACTCAGATTTTTCCAAACTTAGATAAGTTAAGCCAGAGCATTAGCAACCCTAGAAAGCAGTAATAAGTTTACTTTTTAGGTTAAACATCCAGAATTAAAGTGAACCTTCACCACTAATGGATGCAAGAGGAACATGCAAGAAGTTATACTGTAAGTAATAAAAAGAGGGGTTTATTTAAGTTTCATAGTATAAAACACAGTGCTGGAGAGTGATGTACACATTTATTAAAAGAGTAAAAGTGCTGGAAGGAAGTAGAAGAATAAGCAGGTACAGACTGATTGCAATTTGAGACCAGAGCTTTTGTGATCTGCATTCAATGAAGTAATCATTTATTCAAAGAAAAGAGTGAAACGTCCCGGAGGCTGCGCAGGCTGGCACTGATGTCACGCCTCTGTTTTAGGTTGCATCTGCTGGTGTATTGGGTCATGTAGTTTTCAGGCACACGTCGCCTCCGGGATAGGATATCCACCACGTGGCTAAGCTTTGACCTGATAGTGGAGTAGTGGAATTGCCTCTCTTTATGCAATTTTTGGAAATACTCTGCCCTGTGACTGCTAGAGTATTCAAAGGACCGGAGAGAAGACAGTGAGCTGGTAGAGCTTGCAAGAGAACACTGAGATGATGACAGCGATCGCAGACTGGAACTTGATACAGCCTTTCCAGACAGAGAAGATCCTTCTTTTAACAACTTTCTGTGAAGCAGAGGTGTTTCTGTGCACTCATCTTCCTTTGTCTGTGTCACTGCCGTCTTCAGCAAAACTGAAGTCTGAGTGCCCGTCACTCTAGCAGCGACAGAAGTCTGAGTGCCAGTTTCTACCATTACAGCATTAGTCTGCGTGGCAGCATTACACATGGTCACTACGGGCTTCTCCTCCCATGGGCCAGTTTGAGTTGATGCGCTTTTCCGTTCCACTATGGCCTCTTGATTGCTGAACCACTCCTCTTCACAGAGGCAAGAATGTCCCAGGTCACAAGGTTTGCTTCCAGGAGTATCTTCAGCCTGATCTAGTTCTTTCAAGAATTTCTTTGGAGTACTAGACAATCTGGCAAATTCTGCTCTCAAGTTGCCTTCCACAGTATATTCTTTAGGGGACTCTAGCCTGTTCACCAGGTGATCAAATATTCCACTGTTCCTGCAGCTGGATGGGCATTTAGGGCTGATGGGCATTGACTGGGCATAAAGAATCCTGAACTGGAGGTCAAAATGTTCAACCACTTGACCTGACAATAGCAGCAAGTTACTGCTGTTCAGCTTCCCATCAGACCACGTGAAACTATTGAAAACAGAAATTCAGAGTTAGTCACCAGTTCACTTTAACATATGCAATTACAGATAGCAAGACTCAGCTTAGAAGCTCTGTGCATAAGGAAGCTATAAAGTCAATATGACCATTCACTCTGTCTTCTTCAGGAAGACCTTTATTTAGCCATGGCTAAATGGTTTGTTAGCAACAAGTTGGGTAAACCAGTTTTCCAAAGCTGTTTCAAGTTTTGTGTTAGTCCACTTAGACTCAGCTAGTCCACTTGCCATTGACATTCATTAATACTAGGAAAACAGCAAAGTTAATACATCCTTCTTGCAGAACCCCCTCTTTCTACAGCTTCATCAGGCACTAGCAGACTCCGATACTTACCTGTAGGAGCCCGTTGTCACTCTAATGCCATCAATTAACATGAACTTCTCATGGACTTTCCCAACAATTTTGGCACCCGACCTCATGTAGTATGTGTTACCAGTGAGAGTTCGAACTCTCATCAGCTGTTTCAGAAAAGAAGGGAAAAAGTAACATTAGAGGAGTTAACTTACAAAAAATTTTGATTAGCAGTTCTACCTAAAAGCAGCTACACACACTATGGAAGATAGGAGTGAAATGAGCTTCCTTACATTTTCTGTATGTGAGTGTTATTAGTTACACAGTGCTAAATTTCTGTTAGATTAGGAGACTCTGTGGAGAGAACAGGTATTTCTAATTAATTACTGCCCACGAAGCTAGAATTGCTTCCCCGTCCAGAGAAACTCTCACTGGGGTGAACATAAGCCTGTCCAAGCCAAGCCATAACACAGTCATGTCAGCTTTTATCAGGGGGATTACATAAATCACCCTTTTAAAACACAGCAACTATGCCTTAGTGAAGAAAAGAGATGTTACCAAATCTATACCACCCCTAAGCTTCCCATGTTCGTGTTTTCCTTAGCAAGCAGTTCCTTGAGCCAAAGAATAAAGCTACTCAGATCTTGCAAAATTAAATGCTTGAGCATTGCTGCTTCTTTGGGACAGGGATCACAGTGCACACTCCACCCAGCACACCGGGGAGCTGCACAGCACCGCTGTAGTTCCTACAGCACATAGCTCCTACCTATGGGCAGTGTTGGGTAGGAGTAGGTGTGCCTTTTCTACATGTTTTTTTGCCAAGTTGTGGGCAGTTCCACATGCTGTATTAGAGACTATACTGAAACCATGCATCATTGAACCTTGATCTTCAAGACCTGAGAAATATTTCAGAAAACACCCTTTTATATCAGTTATCTAACAGACAGGATGCTTTAGTCTTTTCAAGGAAGCTTCATGCTTTATAGAAGGGTATCTTTGATATTCATAACCCTAAACTATACCACAAAAAAATAAAAACAAGCCCCACACTGACCCACGTTTAGTACTTACACTTTCTTGCTCAGGGCACACTCCCAAATTCTTGCACATTTCCAAAAAATGGGGTAGAAAGTCCTGGTCAAGAAGGATATAGACAGGGACTTTGCGGTTGTTATAGGCATCCTGAAGGTCACCAAAGATATCAATATCTGTAAAGGAATCCATCACAAGGGCAATCACCTGCAAGAAAAGTGACAACACTTGTTTAAGGGCTTTATTTTACACAAGACCAGATCATGGATTCCCACAGCCATTTTCTCCTGCCGCTGTCAAGGCCAGATGCACATTTCTTTGTCCTTCTGCACAGGCCCTGGCAAGTTATAGAAGATTTCTATATTCCCACAATGTTTCTGTAAATTCATTGTGCCCTGGAGTGCAAAGCATAAACCTGAAGGTTTCTTCCTCATGTCTGCTGCTGCTTTTGTACACTTTCACAGCCTGCTTTCCCACATAACGTCCTGTTATCTGGTCTTTTGGTAACACTGGGGAAGCTATCACAGCAGAATCAGGAGACCAGACAAGCTGCCTCTGCTCCTCCCAGCATCACATACCTGCTACAGATAGCCACTGCCTCCGGGAGCATCAGCTCGAATGGCCTCCTCACTGTCACAGCTGAACATCTCACAAACCCCAACTGATTCCTCTTTGTGTGGTAGGAAGGGAATGCTGTTCCTATATAAGTTACCAAGAGATAAACTAGGTCTGTGACAACGTATAAACTGAATACACTATTTCCAGACTCTTGCTAGATGTATTCTGAGTTTCCATCCTTTCACTCACTCAACAGCTCTTTATAGAGGGTAAGTCCTAAGATGGGAAGATTTTCTCTCAATGGGCCAAAGACAAGATGACAGTCCTACATGTACGAACCATCTCTCCAGCTAATTCAGAGCTGCACTGCACACTGTTTTGGTGTGCTAGAATTCTCACCCTTCAAAGCCAGGAACACACATCTCTGTGGAGACACAAAGGCATAAAGGATTTGGCCTTCATGACTTACTTTTCTATTCTCTTTCTATTAGACAGGCATCAAGGACAGCAATTATACAGCCACTTCGGGTACCTGGCACCTGCCCTTATCAGATAAGGCATCCACATACTGCTGCAACACACCCAAGGTGTATATGCATTCAACACAGCTACTGTGTGTGGCATTGCCTGTACTCACAGGAAACAGTTCCCACAAGAACAGGCTAAGATTTGCGTTCACACCTGTGCCCTGTTCCCTAAGGGATTGGCTCCATACAGATGAGTTCTTCAGTAGAATACATACAGGCACGTTGGTATTTCTAGATAAAGTTAGTTTATGCTTGCGCTTCTTGGAGGTCTCCTCTGCTTTTCTCCACCTTACCACTTGTCTAAGTGTCAAAGGAAGATAAACAAGATGCTTCTGACAGGACCAGATGAGTAACAAATTAACCCCTAAAAACAACACTAGGTACATAATTCTTTTATACCCCTGGAGACACTGTGGCTTCAAATTACTACTACTCAATTAGCAGCACATTTGAGTTCTAATCCCAGAATTAGCAGCCGGAAAAGAAATACACTTTTACTCAAAATGAGCAAAACTACAGTTACATTTAGAGGAGGCAGAGAAGCCCCTTTTCTCTACGCTTACCCATTTAGGACAGCAGAGGCAACATAGCAACAGTGTCCCCTTTAGCCACTCAAGCTAACAGCATTTGAATGAGCTGAGAAGACACTATACAGCATCTGAAGTTTTCCTGTTCCTCACGTTAACCCAAAGAACTCGGATATGATTAAGCAACATCAGACAGCATCTGATATTAAGTTATAGGGAGTGAAAATTTCTCTTCATTCCATGCCCACAAAAACACTCCCTGGGTCAGGCATGCACACAGCAGTGGCAGAACACCTTGCCTGGCTCTTGGCTCGGTGCGAGGGAGGGCATTCGGCAGGATGCTACGAGCAAGAACATTACAAAGTATACTTTTTTTGACAAACAGATGTTCTCATGGAGTTTACTTGAATCACCAGACCGGTCCTTCTCAGGTAGATGAAACCATGACTGTTTCTGGCAAGAAGCCTCATCCTACATGTCACCCTCACACACACCCTAAGTGTCTGCGCTCAGAAGCGGGCAGGGACTAAGCACAGTTGCTAATTCAGGGTGCACCACGTGCGAGCACATTACACATATAGCCAGGAGTGGCTTCACCGGGCTACCCCAAGAGGAAGATATACGTTTAAATTTTAGCTAAGCCAATCGAATGGCTGCTAGCACAAAGGGTGGTTCCCTCCTGGGGATTGCAGCTGAAGGCTATAAACTCAGGTAACACAAGGAGTTAGGGAGAACAGTTAGAAGTTACTGCTCTGTGTGATTTTTAAGCCATACTCTGCATCAGATCAAAACCATCCACTCCTTGGGGAAGGAAGTCCTGCTAAGAGCAGGTCTGCACATTACTTAGGGGTGATTAATGAGGAGAAAGAGGTGAAGAAAGGAGATACAGTCACAGGATTATCTCTGTAGATAACGTTGTTTTATGAGAGAGGCCTTTTTTTACGGCATGTCCTTTAAGGGACAGTAGGAGGTTTCTGTGGGTGAGTACATCAGTAAGGAGTCTGACATAGGAAACCGTTCGTTTGCAACAAGATCAGCTCGAAGCCAGCGGGCGGTTTGGCCGTAAGCAGTAGCAGCGGCTCCGCAGGCAGCGCGGGTGGACGGGGAACTCTTGACCCACCACCCCGGGAGCAACGCGAGTGCCGCCCGTGGGGCGTTTACGAACTTGTCCTCCTAACGAGGCTCTCTCTGCTCGACAGGGGTTCTATGGCCTCTTGGCCTCGCTTAGTACCACAGGAAGAAGATGCTCGTCGGTACCGTTGCTGATTTTCGCTCCGGTTCGCAGACCCGCTCGAGAAGGGTCCCGG